CAACATAAGTGTTGTGTACACACCTCTTATTTAATTTAATTTGCCCTAATGGGTGGTATTAAAGAATTTGAACTGAAGCTATTAGGGTGATAAACATTAACACGAAATAGGCTAAACGCTTTGAACGCGTTTCAATTAAAGATTTGATAGAAAAATTACAGGTATTACGGTCAATTACATGTAATTGAATTATATCATGAAAGCATGCCCCTCTACCATTATTAAATCGATTTAATGATGGCACGTGTTAAACATTTTTTTTTATAAATGTGTGATAATTCATCAGGGTTTGTTTAAGAATATTGGGGCGTTTGAATTGATACCAATTTTATAGTCATTTTTTTTAAATTCAAAATAGCTTTTGAAAATACGAGTAATAACTTCATACATAACAGTCACAAGCAACAATCAACATTGTATACTTTTAGTTTAGTGGTCCAGTGACTATACAACAAGTTAAAATTACTTATTTTATCTTCGGAGAACTCAACATTTCAACGTATCTTAACATAGTTAATTTTACACGCACAGTCATAAAAATGTTAAGAAACTTGTCACATAAAACTCTCTACATTCAAGTTATTTACACTCAAAAGTGTGAACTTATGGTCGAGTCGAAGAAGCAGGTATGCCCAAAAACTGGATTTCGGAGAAAGTGTCCCGACCGGTCGATCTCCCGACACTCCGTCTGCGGGACGTGGGTGACGGTGCAACATTGTTGGAAAATATTGACATCATGGATCTTAATTACATTCATTACTCATTATCGCAGCTTCTATTTGATGATATTGTATGAAAAGGCTTATTCAATATTTAAATAGCCTTACGGTGTAGGAGATACTAACAATAAAAGCTTAGAACTTATGTGATGCATTATAATACTCGTAGTTAGCTGCTTTTATGCAATTTCATTTACTAACTTTGTTAACTCAGAGAAGATCAAAATAATTTAAGTATAGTTAACTAAACTTTTTTTTATTTTCCGCTTTGTTTCATTGTTTAAAGTTGGTTCAAAAAGTTACTCGCGACTTTTACAAAATTTTAGTGATACTTACAGCTAGTGTCCGACCGAAACTAGTTTTACGACCGAAACCGAAACCGAAAACGAATTTCGGCAACGGTGTCTATTTCGGCCGAAACCGAAACCGAAACCGAAACTTCCTTACAACGCTCATATTTTGAGGGAAAAATAAAGAAATGCGAAAATGCACTGCCTAAAAGAATCGCACAACCTACTCCGACTACATGACTAGCCGCGCTATGGAACCGGCTGGGAAGAGGTATCTTTGTTCAACAATAGCTTCGAAAGTAATAGACGTAGACTAATTTTACATTCGTTTTGTAGAATAGCTCAAATACTAATAATACAATGCAAATAAGATATACTTTAACGACCTGGTTTTTCTTGTGTTGGAAAATAACTGAAAAAGAAGTGAAAATAGTCATGTTTTTTTCTACTTAAATCCATTCCTACTTCCTTAAAATGTATGAAACTTGTGTCTGTTTTCTACTTTACTAATAGATCATTTTGTCAGCTATCGCATGACATAAAATATTTGCTCATTAGTGTTAAGGTGCCCACGCAGTCACTTGTTTTTGAAGAAAGAGGTGAATTCTAAAAATTAAAATCTTTAAGCCTTGTAATTTTTTGAGAAATGGGTCAAGCCCCAAATTTGAAGTATTTTCATCGATAAAATTGTCCATAGATCACGCCCTTAAAGTTTGATCACTACATGCCCGGACACATTTTATAATATGTACTATAAATTAAGTATAAACTATGATCGTAATGCACATTCGGTTTCGGTCGTAGTTTCGGCAAGTTTGCCGCCGAAAACGAAACTAAACCGAAACTCGTGTTTTTACCGAAACTCAACCGAAAACGAAACCGAAACCGAACATTCGGTCGGACACTACTTACAGCAATATGCAGTAACAAAAACAGCGTTTCTATTTCGACCTTTTTAATTTCAGTTTTTATTGTTGTTTCCTTTGTTTAACGATTACGAAATCGAATGTAAGCGTTGAAATCGTTTGATTTGCGTGAAGTGAGTCTAACTGAATCACGTCCTCAGAAAAGTCCGGATGGAAATTTTCTCGATTTTTGACTTACGTGATTGCACGTGCTTGCCACTCTTTCAGGAATGTTGTCGGAAATTGTTGTAAAATAACATAGAAGGTTTATTAAAAAAGTAATTTTAGCTGGAAAATCCAACCAGCATTTTGTCTACCACGATATTAATTTGAATGTTTAATGCCCGTTTTCACTATCAATCCCCCATCATTGATAGTGAAAACGGGCATAATAATATAAGAGGTTCTTTTAATTTAACACCTACGATAGAGTATGAAGATGCAAATAAAGTCGGTTAATTATCAAAATAAGACCTCGACTCAATCATGCTAGTAATACAAACAAACAACTTTTCGTTATGGTTATTAAAAGATCGTATCTTGTAGGCAGCGAAAATGGCTCCCACGAAATTTATAAAGAAATTAAAAGGAATAATGATAATGATGTTGCTATCATTAATTACGATCGTTATTAGATACACAAACACAATAAAGACGTTCGTCTTTCTCATAAGATTGCTGTAACAAGCATACACGAGTAATTCAGATTCGCAATCAAAAAACCGTTAATTACAGTTAAAACAAAACGTCATTTGTCAAGTAACGATAAGAGGAGAAATTTTTTCGAAGTTATTAAGATATTAAGAAGTAAGCAATAACTTTTTTTTACATTGGGTATCTATAATATAATAATTGATCGATTATATTAATAAAGACATGGCTTAATTATTCATTAGCTCTTTTGAATACATAAATAAGACTGAAAGTTGAATTCTCATGTTTGGAAAAACACGAAGTGATAAATTATACATTCACTTCTTACTTTGGGAAACAAATCGATTATGATATTGTTGAATAATAATATGACATTGTCTAATAAGTTCCCACAAACTTATAAATAATTTGTATGTTTTTTAATGTTTTAGGCTTAAACCGTAACTATGAAATAAAAATTTGTCTAGAATGGCTTCATAGCGAAAAGACCTGCTAAATTGTGACCGTCTCTTCTGTGTAATTCTTTCTTTCCTAGTTTTGTGTGTACAATTACGTATTCACAAACGATGCTTGCTTAAAGAAAGCAGCAAATCGAACGCACAGCGTTGAATAGAGCTCTCTGATTGATTCGTGTGTCACCCTGTGCATCCACGCGCACTGTGAGACTTCATAGTAATGTTTGTGAATACGGGCGTTAATGTCTGTCTATGTATCTATCATTTTCCCATTGTGGACCTGGATTCATCGCTAGTCACCCGGTTACTTGAGCATTTGTTTTTATCTCAACATCACTCCATATTATTTCCGTTTTAACGGAATTCCTAGTCAAAAAACTGTCCCAGTTCATACGCCACAATGGTTGGGAACCGACCTGTTAACTGTGCACTGTGACCGTTGCTGCACTTGTTTGCTTTTTGTTTTAATTATTGTGCGAGAACAGACGGATTGTGACTTGGGCCGAGTTGGCAGTTGGCACATAGTTCCGAGTGGGTGAGAACTTAAAAACTGGATACTATTGATACTACGTACATGTACACGTCAAATTTGGCACGCTCTTTTTGGAACACCCTGTATAATAAGATTGCGTCGCGCGAGGAGTAAGCAAGCTTAAGGAATCCTGTACGTAGGAATAGGCATCATTTCATTATTTTTTTAACAAATAAAAGAAAAATAAAAGCACTATAAACTAATAGAGTTTGGGAAACTGTTGAGCTAAAAATATACATTCTAAGTGCCATTTGAGATATTTTCAATTATTGCCGTCGTTCTTGATTTACTAAGTTAGAAAAGAAAATGATATCAGTATGTATAAACAAAATGTGTATTTCAGAACAATCAGAATAGTAGGACATTTCCTGAAAGAATCTTTAGATAAATTGCAAATTCAAAGTTTACAACAATTATTATTGCAGTTGTTAAATGTTTTAAAACGCACTTTCAATTCCTGTTTTACTACATGCGTTTAACTGGTTTTTAGTTCACAGTGATTTTACCAACATGTTGTAAACCTTAAAAGATAAGTAAATCTTTCCAAACATACAATTAAAAGGTTAATCAGACTGTCACATCACACCATAAGACTTTAGCAATCGAGACCACACCATGACAGAGGGCACAATTATTGTGGTCACAACTCCACAAAGCCATAGTAAAATGATGACAGTAGAAGAAGTCAAGCCTTCTTTACAAACACATCTTTGTCCAGATCAGTGCGTAAGACATAAAGATGAGATAAGTACCTAAAGCGGTTGAATATTTTATGGTTATGTTGCCATTCTTACAACTATTTGGACAAGGGGTAAAAAACTGGTAAAAAAAGAAGAAAGAAAGAAAATAACTTTATTTTGGCAACAACAGATTCAGGCAACAAAGACATACACAAAAAAAAAATAAGTTGCCAAAAAAGGTCACCCAATCAGTAATATCTTGACAGTATACCGACAGTATGATACATACCTACTTTGTATGATTGCGAATTTAAACCCATTACGAAAGAATTTTACTACTTAATCTCTTTACTGTGGTGCCTTACCTAATGTCTTCCAATTAACGGCCATGTACCTGGTAATTACTATTGTAAAGTTTGTGTAATTGGGAAGGAAATACTTGAACGTGAGACACAAGTTGCTCATTGAGAAGAAAAATTAAAGTTAAACCACTACTTTGTAAATTAGGATAACATTTTTGGAAATGAAAGTTAGTGATTAAGATTTAATTTTGAAACACTCGGGTTCCAGAATGATTCTATTCAGACCGCCAAGAAACATTGGAAATTAAATGACCTGATGATGAATACAAAACCCTAATGCCGATAAGACCGCCTAAATTGTGCCGTATCTGGTGTATATTTACTCGTATTTCTTTTCTTGTCTTGTGTGGTGGTGTATAATAAAGTATGTTCTATCTATTTCAACCCCTATTTTTCTCCTCAGACTGATATCCCTGGAGATCGCCCCTCGACCTGAGGTCCAATGCGAAGCAGTAGCATGGCGACTGGTGGGGCTACTCGGCAGCGACCAGGGCTCCGGGCTACGGGCCAGGACGGCCAGGCTGGCGGGGGCGCTGGTCAACTACATGCCTGAGGCGAGGGATGCCGTGGACTCGAGGAGGAGGCAGCTCGATGCTGCTGTTCAGGGTGAGATAACCAAGAAGCTACGTCCACAAAAATTTTGTAAAGTTTCGAATGGGACCATGGGAAGCGATCAGGGCTGAACCAGGGCTCCGGCCTGCGGGCCAGGACGGCCAGCCTGGCGGGGGCGCTGGTCAACTACATGCCTGAGGCGAGGGATGCTGTGGACTCGAGGAGGAGGCAGCTTGATGCTGCTGTTCAGGGTAAGATAACCAAGGAGCTACGTCCACAAATTTTGCTACTTTTTGACTGTGACCATGGGAAGCGACCAGGGCTCAGGGCTGCGAGCCAGGACGGCTAAGCTGGCGGAGGCGCTGGTCACCTACATGCCTGAGGCGAGGGATGCCATGGACTCGAGGAGGAGGCAGCTTGGTGCTGCTGTTCAGGGTGAGATAACCAAGGAGCTATGTTCAAAAATTGTGTTAGTTTTTGACTGTGACCGTGGGAAGCAACCAGAGATTAGGGTTGCGGGCTAGGACGGCCCGGCTGGCGGGGGCGCTGGTCAACTACATGCCTGAAGCCAGGGATGCTGTCGACGCGAGGAGTAGGCAGCTTGATGCTGCTGTTCAGGGTAAGATAACCAAGGAGCTACGTCCACAAACATTTTGTTATGTTTCGAATGTGACCATGGGAAGCGACCAGGGATCAGGGCTGCGAGCCAGGACGGCCAGGCTGGCGGGGGCGCTGGTCAACTACATGCCTGAAGCCAGGGATGCTGTCGACGCGAGGAGTAGGCAGCTTGATGCTGCTGTTCAGGGTAAGATAACCAAGGAGCTACGTCCACAAATTTTGTAACTTTTTGATTGTGACCATGGGAAGCGACCAGGGCTCAGGGTTGCAAGCCAGGACGGCCACGCTGGCGGGGGCGCTGGTCAACTACATGCCTGAGGCGAGGGATGCCGTGGACTCGAGGAGGAGGCAGCTTGATGCTGCTGTTCAGGGTGAGATAGCCAGGGGAACTACTCCCAAAAATATAATAATTTTTGAACTTTCGAATGGTACCATCTTTCTCACGTACCTAAAGTGATATGAAAACATGAGCTATATAGATAGTATGTACCCGAAACTTTGTAAACTAGTACGAAGTTAGTCCTGCAAAGTATAATATGCATATTACTTGCCCCCGTCGTCTAGTCGTTAAAGTTCGGCTAAATCTAGCTAGGGATTTAATTCCTAAATGGAATACAAAACCTGAAAATTAATATTGTGCAAAATACGCAAACTGAGAAATCTCAAAACGTTTCATTCTCAAGATTAAATTAACTTTCAAGATTTTATTTAGCTCATTAAAAGTATTTCAATATCAGACACAAATCGGCTTCCTCAACAAAACAATATTCACATCGTTCTTATCTAACATACCGTTGCATAACAACAATAATTTGCGTACAAGGTTCCCATACAAAGGTCGCAGCTTAAAAACGCATCAGGGCAGATGCATCTGATGGTACATCTACCTGGGAACATAACCGTGGACGCGCATCTAATGCCCCATTTCCTTTGACCATGATAAGTATAACTGAACACTTTTTACTTGTAATTTCAACTTTATGTCCATAGCTATAAAACACTAGTACCTATTTGCTGCTCAGCGGTTTGATAAGATGGCTTCCTTTAATTTCCTTTCTAGATTGAGCATCTGAGTGATGTTTATATCTCGTGAATGATGATTCAAGTTCGTTTATACTAATTTTAAATCTGATGAAAAGATAATTTTAAGTTATGTTTACATCCGGAGACTGACCGTGCTTCTGTAGAAATATGATTTTATGTGGCCAACGAATACTGAGAAAAAAGAATTGAAAGACATGGCTTACAACAGTATTCACAAACATTACTATGAAGTCTCACAGTGCGCGTGGACGCACAGGGTGACACACGAACCAATCACAGAGCTCTATTTAACGCTGTCCGTTCATTGCAAGCATCGTTTGAGAATACGGGCGATTGCTCAGTGAAGAAGATTAGTGATAGTAGCCCACAATGGTATCGGTATCATTAGATTTACCATTGGCTTTGAGCTTGGGTGCGCTCCGAGGAGCACGGGTTTAAACCCTGGCGCAGCTGGACTCTTGTGGTGGCTGTGAGGCTTACCACGAGGGGACGCGGGACTCTTTCTTTCTACAAAAAAAAGTAAAATCATGACCAGGGGTTAGCTAGCGAGGAGCCTTTTTTATTGTATATCTACTTTTTTATTTTTTCCACTAGAAACACAAGCTCGAAATAAGGCGGCTATGAGACCACACTTAGTTGGGACACTTTGGGACTGACACGTGAATTCGTTCCCAGGGCTGGGCACCCACGGGCTGACGGCTGACGCGACGGGCGCACTCATCTCGCTGCACGTGGCCATGAAGAACGAGCTGCAGAGGCACGTCGAGGTCTACAAGCAGGCGCTGCACAAGCTGGATGAGCTGGTAGGTCTAATTTACACCCGTAGATTGCTAGCATGGATTATTGCTAGACAATAATAGGTAGCGCTGGTAGTGCAAAAGATTATGAGGCGCGTATAAGACTCCTCATGAGCAAAATGAAAGAAATGATGAATTTAAATTGAATACTACGTCATATGACATCTCCGAGATTTAATGTCAAAGTCAAAGTCAAAATTTCTTTATTTGTTTGGACTAATAAATAGTTCTTACAAATCGTCATTTTGCTCTTAAGGAGCCTCTACATGTCTCATAATCTTTTTACCCTACCAGCGCTTCGAGACCAACATTTGGCAAGTGCTGAGAAGAAGCGCCGCAACAAACTCAGTCACCACTGTCTGCCGGTTAATATAAATAAATAGAAATAGTAGTAGTAGGTACATTCGATTCAGGAGCAGTTCACTGAATTTACCATGCATTCTTGTATGGTGTATCTTATAAGAATGGGTATACAAGATTGCGTGGTATATTAAACAAGGTAGTGACGTGCTAATATCTAGACTTACATATTAAGATACTAGTAGAAATGACTCGCATACATAAATTTGAATAACTTGGATTGACCAGTCCCCGAAAGCAGCGCCTGTTCACAGACATGACGAGTGAACCAGCCATCGCTTCACTCGACCATATTAGAGGGAATGTAACGACCCGCCTCACTACGCCACCACCCCAGAGACATTTTAGTGAGAATGACAATTCCAAGTTATCTCTTTAACCTCGTAAGACCGAAGAGTAAATTTTGTCAACTTCTAAGTATCGCCGAATGTGCTTTCAGAAGAACGAATAATTTGAAGTCGTAAACGCCGAGCACTTTGAGTAAAAAAATTTCTATGTTAGAGATTTTCTTTTGCACCCATATTTTCAGGGACCCTATATAATAGTGCATAGAGCTTATTTTAGGTAAAAAATAATAAAAAAATGTTTTCTCTTAAAAGAACATTCGGTATTACAGACTTTAAAAAGAAAAACTAAATAAATTGTATATTATACTTTAAAGTAAAACATAAATGTAACCTCCTTAATAAATTAATACTACATTCAAAGATGTGTCATCAGCAAATAACACGATTTCGCAAGAGTCCTTAACAAAATATGGTAGATCATTAATGTATATAAGAAACAAGAATGGACCCAGAATGGACCCCTGCGGAACTCCCATTTTCACAGGTGACCCAGAAGACAAAACACCATTTATGTCAACTTTTTGAACTCTAAAGTTTAAATAGGATTGTATTAAATCCAAAGCCGAGTCCTTTACCCCATAATAGTGCAGTTTGCGAATTAGCGTTTGATGTTCTACGCAGTCAAAAGCTTTTGAGAGATCACAGAAGACCCCTAGTGCATTTTGAGAATTCTCCCAAGCCTCGAAGATATGTTTAAGTAGTGCAACCCCAGCATCGGTGGTGGAACGACCCTTGGTGAAACCATATTGTTCACTATGAAATAGTTTATTAGAGCCAAAGTGAATCATAAGTTGCTCCTGTATGATTTTTTCAAAAATCTTGCTCAGAGCGGGCAAGATAGAAATGGGTCTATAATTGCCAGGGTCGGTTTTGCTACCAGACTTAAATAATGGCATTAGTCTACTATGTTTCATGAGGTCGGGGAAGATTCCCTTCTCTATGCAATTATTGAATATTATCGCTAACTGTGGGGAAATTATATCAATAATGTGTTTGACTATCTTGACAGAGATGCCCCAGATATCAGTTGTACTCTTTACGTTTAAAAGATTAAAAGTTTTAGTGATATCTAATGGAGTAATATGTTTAAAAGAGAAGTGCGAGTCACAGGGTGTCACGTGGGTTTTCAATATTTCTTCGGCCTCGGAGGGAGATGACTTTAAGTTGGCAGTTGTTGCTGAAGCTATATTACCAAAAAATTTGTCAAAAGCTTCCGCTACATCTTTATCTGCAGAAATCAAATTATCGTGAACTTTGAGAGAAAAGTCATTATCTTTTGGTTTTAGTTTACCAGTCTCTCGGTTGATAACATTCCAAGTTTCTTTTATTTTATTACTGGCGTTCCCTATCTTGTCCCGAATATAAAAAGACTTAGCCATGAAGCAAACTTCAGGGAAACTAGGGAGAGAATTGGAGAGAGGCTGACATATTGATCCTTTAATCGCGGATGAAATTATTAGGACAAAGCAATTGTCAAAAATATCACGTAAAATTGTTCCCAATTTCAGTTAAAATGCTCTCATCTTTAGATTGACTCAGTTAGGAGCACATGGCGCTCTAATTGAATAGGGATATTCTACGTGGAATTCAGCGGAAAACTTTAGCTAATTAACAAAATAGATTTGATTATGAATTACTGTGGTTGTGATCTCAGTTGTTATAACACACTTTTGGAAAAGCATATCTCGAACTGTGGAGGTCTTCTATTCTTCATAGTTATATTCTTCTCAATGCACCAACAAAGTCCTGAGTCAATCTTTCTACGAGTAATCTAATTCAACATCTTTCAACAGTCACCAGTGACAGTGAACCAGGATCCAGCATCATCATCACATCAACGCCTGCTAGCTCTCTCCCACGCCGACGTGGAGCGGCGCCTCATCGACAACAAGTCTTTGCTCACCATCGTCGACAAGCCAGCATTGAGGCAGCTACCGACGCTGGTGACGGCGCTGGCCCAGCGAGTGGAGAGCGATAAGGCGGTGCTGGCGTGCGTAGGGCAGATCAAGAGAAGCGATCCGGCTTTGGACCTTAATGACACGCGGTAAGTTTATACTTTAAGCATAATTTAAGTACCTTTCATGCTGGCAGTGCAGTCTCGCGAGACAAGCCGTGTGTAATAGTATAAGGAAGCTCTTGCTACCTCTCGGGTGTCTCGCTGTCGAGTGTTCGCACATGGGGCTGTCTCGCGAGAGGTTCGGGTAAGTTTGGGCGAGAGCTCTCGGACGAGACTTTGACGAGAATGTACTGCCGGTATCAGAATATTGAACTTCGTTTTAGACCATTATATGTTGAGGGAGCTTCGAACGTTGTATTTGTAGTATCCACCGTGATACCTTCGTTACTCATCGTTGGCTAAAACTTGAGAGCGCTGCTGATCAAAGTGGTATAAAAGACCCTTACCATGATTTAACTAGAAACCACGATAGTACGGGGTCTGACTAGCCGACTCGTTAGCGAACGCGCCGCTCGACTACTGTGGTGAGCCCACTCGTGAAACAAGCATATTCAGCTTAGTACGAGGGGCTAACGGTATTCTTAAAAAAAAACTATGATGTCTATTTTATTTTGAGTAAGATTGTCTAGTTAGGTATACACAAATTATTCCCAATTTATTATGATCATTCTTCTAACTCTATAATAATGCAATGAAAAATTTAAATATCATAAAAGTAGTCATCAAAAGAAACTAATAAAATTATGAGTACCTAATTCAATTAAAACCACGATAAGGTCATTTCAACAGCTAGCCAAATAAAGCATTTTCAAATCTAGTGTAATAGATAATTAAAAAAATGAATTAATTTATCAGCAACCCAATGAGATAAATCGGCAACACAAAGTTTACAACCAACGAAAAACAATAATAAATTTCGAATTCTTGATATCAACAATCTCATGATAACAGACCGTGAAATGACTGGCTCTATTTAAAATATTTATAATGATTCACGATGTTTCATGCGTAATTACTATTTTATATTTCCTAATAAACTCTGGCAGGATACTGATACCATCTGCTAGGAAGGGGAAGCTAATTTGGAATATATTTAAATGTATCTTTATATGTAAATACATAAAGTTTTACTTCCTAGGTATTTCTAGAAAGGTTTTTTTTTAATAACTGAGGTACTTGCATACAATGATTAAATCTGTCGCCCCACGCCCTGCGGCGGAGCGCGGCGCAGTGTGATAACCGCCTTACCTACTTTGTCAGCCAAAATACAAAATGATAGTGTGAATAATAAAAAATAATAAAGTATAACGTAACTGTATTCTTAACGATTATTACAACGATTTAACATTCGCTTACAGCACATTTAGCGAACGTAAATGCAATATTCGTGATTTTTGTGAATAGTTCCACTGAACTTGGTCTATTTTATACGCTTTGTTAATGGGTAATGATATTATGGTTATGGACATTACATCGAAAACCCTTTGCCTTTGATTACCTTGAAAATGGTTACGTTTCATGGTTAACTGAGACCATTTTCTTTCATAATACGAGTACTCAAAATAATAGGTAAAAATATTACGTACGCAGCAGTTCTAAATAATATACATATAATTATATAATTTGGTATAAAAGTAGGTATGTATTTACAAAAAAAAGTATTTAAGTATGTTTATATCCGTTGTCTAGTACCCATAGTACAAGCTTTGCTTAGTTTGGGACTAGAAGCGCAGTGTGAAATGTCTAAGGATATTATTAATTTATTTATTTATTTATTATATTCCGTTTCATTAAGACACTACAGGTCAGGCCTAAAGTACGCACACTACTAAAGAAGTATTTAAGCATGTTTATACTTTATATCCGTTGTCTAGTACCCGTAGTACAAAGCTTTGCTTACTTTGGGACTAGAAGCGTAGTGTAAAAATGTCCAAAGATATTCCTTACACCAAACTATCGGTCGATGAAAGTTTGTAGGCTTCAAAAACCTAATAAAGTTTCTTGAATGCATGAAACATGTTTGCGAACTAGCCAACTATAATCAAAACCAATTTAAATCGCAATCAGAAACTTTATCATGTAACACAACAAGTTCAATCTGTGTAGCATGAAGTCATTAACAATCTGTCGTTCTCACGGGCGAAAGCAATAAATAAATAATCAATGCCATTTGCATAACGCGACACAATTTGTGTTGTGACTTAATCAATTCTAATCTTGTCATCACTTCTTCATACATTGCATAATTTAGGCACAAACTAGCGTCGCCTTTTCAGCGAAAGTCCCTCTTACGTAATCTTTGACCGGGCAAAAACAGACTGGTCTGTGATCCATCAAAGATTATGATTTTTATAATCGATCGATTTTCAGAAATTACATAATGAACTAATGAGAGATTACCAGCATGTTCGGGTGATATAATCTTGACATGGGAAGTAAAAGTGGTATGAACAGGTTTACTAACTTCCTCTCATAAACTTTTATCTTCCGCGAGATTTTATTAGATCGTTTTTTCTTGACACGCAAGTAAAAATAAATTAATGTTATCTGTGTCAATGCTGTATACATCAGCATTTATTGTCACACGTAAAAGAGCGACAATTAGGTACTTATTTAAATTGCCACTTTCTGACATCTCTGAAAAATATTTAAAAACGCTAATCCCAACTAATATTATAAATGCGAAAGTAACTCTGTCTGTCTGTCTGTCTGTCTGTCTGTCTGTCTGTCTGTCTGTCTGTCTGTCTGTTACGCTTTCCCGCTTAAACCTCGCAACCGATTTTGATGAAATTTGGCATAGAGATAGTTTGAGTCCCGGGAAAGAACATAGGATAGTTTTTATCCCGGTTTTTGAAACAGGGACGCGCGCGATAAAGTTTTTCTGTGACAGACAAAATTCCACGCGGGCGAAGCCGCGGGCGGAAAGCTAGTGATGTGAATAAAATTGGTAATGTAATGACGAAAGTACGAGTGAAATAAGCAATATTATATTTTTTTTTAAATAAAAGACAGTACACTTACATTTTGTATTAATAATACTTTCGAAATTTTCTGATGTGACAATTTAAGGAGAAAAATAATAGGTATTTACTCCTATACTCAGCTATAAGGAGATATTTTTGAATTTTTTTCATACCTTTGTTATGGCTCCTGAAAATGACTTCTGGACATCTGAAAATTTAATTGACTTTTATTCATTAAATAATATAATGTATGTCATTTTAGAACTACGTAGGTAGGTAACGTATAATTTTTATATTTCAAGAGTTTCAGTATTATAATGAATTTATTCTATATTGTTTTTTCGTCCAGTAGAATAGTGGATCTTCTCAGAATTTATCAACATTATTTAAATCCATTTGTTCGTCATCAACGGGTTACAACAACGAGTCAAGCCCAACCAGTTTAAAGTTAAACAAACATTTCCTAACGTTTTTCTTCGACAGCGAAAGTGCGCTTCGTTTTCGAATGCAATAAAAACATTTGCGCTTGTCATAAACGCTCAACTTCTCCTAAACTTACAAAGGAAAATAAACTCTATGTTCAATCAGCGGAATGAGCGTAAGTACGCAAATGGGATGTCAATTTGTCAGAAACAATGGGTCGAAGCGATTTGCTTATGGCACTTGTATGGCGTATTGTTCCGATCGGAAATGCGAGAAAAGCGGTTTTCTAGAATGAAGTCATCTTGCTTTCTGTGGGTCTAAGGCCCCTCGCCCACGGCGACTTTTTATTGCGATACTGTTGCCCTTTACAGTCTACTGCTGGACTATGAGCCTCCTCTACTATAGTGGAGGGTATTGCCATATTTCCCACGCTTGGTAGGCGGGTTGGAGATCGCAGTTTAAAAGATTGATGTTTTTCTGAGAGCGCTTCTGTCACGATGCAGGAGTGAAGATTTACTTTTTTCGGCCTGTCTGTGTTGTATTGATGCTCGTTTCTCCACCCACATGCCACCCTTCGTTCTCTCCCTGATATCATCCGACACAGTCGTGCGACTGAAAATGAAAATGAAAATGAAAAATGTTTATTTCGTTAACAAAAACAATTGATAGGATTTGAGGTGGACTCTTTCTTGTAAGTGCAATGGCACCTGTGCCGAAGGAGTTGCTCTCCCTTAACAAATTAACATTACTGCATCGATACAGTCGATCACTTCTGTAGTACGTTGCAAATGCGACTAAGTCGCCGTGGGCGAGGGGCCTAATATTGTGCAACAATACAGCTAGTATTGTTGAGAAGCATTTCTCTCATTGTGCAGTTCTAAATAAGAGGCGGCACAATGCAAATAAATACGCGCTAGATGTCCTGGGCATCCATTCTCTTCATTCTTTCGCGGGTTAGATAACAAACAAAAGAAATAATGACTTTACTCATCATATTATTAGAATTTACACAATGAAATCTAAATAAATTGACTCTTGATTCAAGTTTTTTTTATCCACAATGAGGAAGCTCTGGCCTGCATCTTACCTGATAGCACAGAATAAGTAATAGTACAGGTACAGAAGGATTACTCCGCAAGACGATTTAAATAAATGCGAGTCTTGCTACGACGCGATACAGTGGAATTCAGCTCGCACAGCACTACGTACCTACAATTTTATTCACCTACAAGTTTTGTCTCTTTCTATCGCGTGCCTCTGAACTCTTCTTACACTGTTAGGGTTGCTGTCTAGTGAAAAAATAATTAATCTACTTATTTGTAATGAGGTACGTATGTAGGTAAGTACCTATGCATTCATTATGGAAAACCTTGGGAGAGGCCTTTGTCCAGCAGTGGACGTCATTTGGCTGAAACGAACGAACGAATTCTGAGCAGTAGTCATGGTAGGTTAGGTTCCTATACTATCCTAAGAATTATTGATTACCTACATGGCCAACATACCTTTCAGCATCTTTGGGAAGCGAAAAAAAAAGATAAATCCGGTAGATTTCTTTTCGAATTTTAACACCCGAACGCCGCACAATATTTCTTTCTCTTTATGTCCATTTTTAAATAATACTTCGATCATAGAATTATAATCATACTACAACGCACGCCAGCGTCCTGACGAGCGCGCGCGTGACACTCGACTGATATAATACCCGCCGGCGGGGCGCTTCGCTGTAGGTAATTATCGGATGTACCGCGCGGAGTGAGCCAGGCCTGCTGATGGTAAGAGATGATCATGCGGAATCCTCAAACCCTGTTGAACTGGCTATCTAACCTCCAACTGCCGGAATACTACAATGTTTCTACATCGGTTGGGCCCATCCAGTAATTATATTATTTAATAACGATTCATTTTTTCTCAAAGTTAGAAAGAACTTTCAGTATTACGTAAACTTAGCCTACGTACCTGTAAATTACAGCTTTGTTACACCAAACGTCAGTTAACTATGACAGCCGCTGTATATCAAATGGTTTTTATGCCAAAGTACCGCCAATGGGAAGTTACAACAATGCTCGGTTTGAAACCATAAATTACGAAGAGAATTAAAAGCAGAGTACTGCAATTAAACCTGTTATATTTCTTATGAAACATCATACTTTACAATATACGACTCTCACGCCATTTCTCCGTTATATCAATGAGTTGTGTAAGTTTTTACAACGATTAATAATGGTTATTAGCGGATGATATCTCATGATTGTTGGATTCATTTTGACGGCGAGTACAAGGAAATGTTTGTAGATGCGGTGCATGTAAATAATAGCAATTAATAATCTTAAGGCGTGTCTCCACTCCACTTATGCGACTATGATATTCGGTTAAACGAGGGTTTATAATTCAAAGTTTAAACAAACAAAGAAGCCGTGAACACACCCTTTTCAAGGCGAGATTGAATAAGTAAGTATTTACAGGGCAGATACTATTATGTACCATCATAGAGAGTATCTCACTTAACATCAGGTGTCCGCAATCAAACACCCCGCCTTGTTCTGCATAAAAAAGCTCGTCGATTTTGAACTTATTACAGGTGGCGACTTTTGGACAAAACTATAATATTTCCCAATTAATATTAGGTACTTCATTTTAAAATTCGTATCTTAGTTGTCTTAGCTTAAATCTCCAGCATGCAAAACAGCTCATTTATTTATTAATCATATCTTTGGGTTGATTGAAGAGTTAGAGAACTACAACTCACGCACAATCGGTAGGCCAAGTGCGGCAAATAGCCCAGAAAAACAACAACTAAACCTATCTACTCTTATTTTTCAAGTTATTTTAGGTAAATATATTTAGATCGAGAGGCGAATCTGAACGCCAGAAAAAAATTAATAACTATCTCATCATCATCATCATCTCAGCCACAGGACGTCCACTGCTGAACATAGGCCTCCCCCAATGCTTTATATGCTGCCCGGTTGGTAGCGGCCTGCGTCCAGCGCCTTCCTGCTACCTTTATGATGTCGTTGGTCCACCTTGTGGGTGGACGTCCCTCGCTGCGTTTTCCGGTATGCGTAATAATAACTATCTATTCTTTGCTAAACATTATCTTCCTCAATTCCAGGCCAGTAGCAGGAGTCCTGATGAGCTACTCCCGCGGCTGCGCAGCGGTACTGACGCAAATGTCAGAGGGGGAGGCGGGGGGCGCGGGCGCGGCCACCCCCCGCTCGCCCACCGACTCGGCCAGTGATGGCTACCATTCAGACAGCGATGACTCGCCGCAACTGCCTGACAGGTGAGCTCTTAGACCAGTCACGTGGTTTTCGTTTAATTGTTTTTGAAGTTTTTACATGTAGAGATTACTTATGTTATCACTTAGGCTCCACTTGAGAGTTATTATTGACATGTGCCATTACCATGTTGGGCGCCAAAAAAGTAGTTGGCGCCCAACATGTTATTTTTCTTACAAAGATTAACTTTCATTGGCTGGGTTTTTATTTGCGGTAAAGCTGAAGATCCAGTGTGATCGAGAGGCTGGAACAGTCCCTTATTGTAACTTGCTGTAAGTACTCTGTAGTTTATACAATCTTAGTCCTTAGTCTTAGTAAAATTGTATATTTTACTTCGATTGCAATGCCGATCTTATAAACGGAGTGCCTTTTTAACCACTTTTTTATCCGTCACCTGAGTCCAGATAGTGGGTCACCTAAGAAATAGCAAAATAGCCTGTTCTGTCTTGTATCCGTAGAACACAAGTAGCCGTAACGCTATCTCTGCGATCATACCTATAGAGTGGTGACCATTTTAGTGCCAGTTCTAATACTTCTAATATTTAAGTTATGTTTTTTGTTGGTGCCAAATATAATTTTTTCTTTCTTTCTTAACGTCATAACTGTACACATTCCAGGAGTAAGCTGGTGTCGCAGTACGCAGCAGTGTGGGCCCGCGCGGCAGACGAAGCGTTGCCGGCACTGGCCGCGCTGGAGCCGTTACGTCACACGCCGCACCTCAAGTACAAGATCGTCTTCTCCGTTGTCGTTGTAAGTAATTATTTGGTATTTTACATGACTTCTTGAGTACGTCTTCGGTAGTAGAGCAAGCAATAAGCGTGAAGGTAACCAATGAAGTTTTTTCACATTAGGTTTTTCTCTATTTTGGATGCATTAGCACTGGAGATAAGCACTTTTGCATTTCTAATTGGCAGTTAAAACAAAATAACTATCAAATTAAATACTGAAAATGTGCTTAAACCTATCCAAAAATTTGGAAGGAAAATAAGACAATACTATAAGATTATTATCAGCAGTCGCTTAATCGTAAGTAGTTGTGAATTCGTTATTCCAGCCACCTTCTTAAATATAGCCTGGTTAATTGTAAGTTTCCCCAACTGGTCAATGTGGGAATGTAGGGCCTCCATTTGCTCTGGTAAATTAGAGGGCCGTGCTCCTACAGTAGAAGATTTGACCTGATGATGAATGGTGTACAATAATGCATTATTAAACTGTCCCATAGTAAGTTTATATACATATAATGATATAATCTTTGGTCATTTCCAGCTGTCGTTCCGCGCCGCGATCAGTCTGCGCGACCGGCGACTGGGCGAGGTGAAGGCGCTCCTTGGCGCGACCGACTGCGACGCTGCCGCTGCCAGTGTCACGAGGCTTGCAGCCGCCGCCACCCGGGTGCTGGTCGAGACAGCGCACAGCTTCCCGCTGGGGGAAGCAGAGAGGACTGTCGTGAACCAGGTATTATATCCGCACTAGTGACAGCCAGCTCATAGTTGCTACTTCAATGCTGCGATCAGACTGTGACGCTGCCGCTGCCAGTGTCACGAGGCTCGCGGCAGCCGCCACCTGGGTATTGGTGGAAATAGCGCACAGCTTCCCGCTGGGGGAAGCAGAGAGGACTGTCGTGAACCAGGTACCGTACCAAGCAAGACCATGGGCAGCAAGCTGACATAATTTGCAATCAGCCTGCAACTCCACGTGGCTGCCGCTACCGGGACAAGACATCTATGTCAAGCAACAGAACTTACAAGAGCACTTGGCGTCTAAGATGTCTGAATCAGAACGACGGCTTTATATGTCCTCCGAGGACACTTAATATTTCCTTTCTAGCGCAGCCTTAAAATCTAGGCCAGCGGTTCCAGATCTACGAATACGATCCTTTCCTGGTTCCTTTTTTTGTCGTCCTTCATAAACATTGTGACACATATGTGTATTTTATAGTGTCGGGCATGTTCTACACATAGTCATTCAGGACACTCGGGCGCCTGTATCATGAACTCGCGATGCCCCAAGACGCTCTCTCAGTTCTCATTCTCACGCATCCTGAACTGTTCTCAGTTTCTGAACTGTGTGCGTAAGATTCAGAACATGGTGTGACTAATGAAGTGTTTGCCACAGGTGCTGAGCACGCTACGTGAATACCCATGCCTGGGCGGCTGCGCAGCGCTTCACGCGCTGGTGGCAGCGGCGTGCCGCGCGGCCTGGGCCATCAGCCTGCACTCGCCGCCGCTGCGGATCGACACTGACTTTACACCCGGTAAGTGTGATACTAGGGTTGTTCAAAAAGTAATGAGGGTGGGATATTGCTAGCCATCACAAAAATCTGAAATAATTGGGTAGGTAGCTTAATAAATTCTTTACAAAAACTTACCAGTTTCTTATTACTTTTTGAACATTTCTCGTAGTAGTCCTTAATTTGCCCGAAAGAGTAGGTATCATTTACGATTTATGGTGTTGACATTTATTTATTTATTTAATTAAAATGCAAGTGAGCTTACAGATAGATCCAAAGCGCTCACATTGCTAAATAGTAAGTAACCTGTTGAGTTGACTCTCCAGTAAAGGTAGATAGAAAAGAATAGCAGTGGGCCAGACTTACAGAGATTCAGGAACAACGTGCATTGATGGATACCTGTGTCCAGCAGTAACAAAACCAGTAGTGTTAGACTGATGACGATAAATTAACAGATACAGTTGATAATTTACCCTTAGAAACAACAACTTACCATATAACAGTCAATTATGTCATTCCAGCACATCCTGAGTAAAGTAGGTACCTAATTTAGAAAATCTTACTATGTAGCTATGTCTAAAATAAATACACTTCAGTCCTTTATGTTTCAGAAGAGCAGCAGTACTAACCATGATATTATTATTATTCTTTTTTCTTTCCCCAGTGGTGATGAACCCCGAGAAGCACGTTCGGTTCTCGAACGAGGCTCGCGAGCGGCGCTCGGACCTCATCAAGTCGTTCGTGTGGCCCGCCCTCATGGACGGCAACCGCTGCGTCTTTAGGGCGGTCGTGCTGACGTAAAGTATATGCGTGCTGACGTAAACTGTATGCGTGCTGACGTAAAGTATATGCATGTTGACGTAAAGTATATGTGTGCTGACGTAAATTACATGCGCGCTGACGTAAATTGCATGAAATATCCCGACCAGAGTTATGAATACTCGTAAAGAATGAATATCGTGGGATATTGGATTTAAAACAAAACTAAAAAATTAAAACCCAAAAAAGGTGTGGCAAATAAAATTGTCGATATCATATTTTGCATGAGCTACTAATAAAAGCATTAAAGATGACGTCACATTAAAAAATACGAATTCAAAACATTCCGGCTTCGCATTTTTGAGTACCTAATAATAAAATGCTCCGATCAAGCTATCATTGTTTTTATCTACATGGCTACCGATTGCCAATATTAATAATTAGTATGTCTTCAATGGATCTAAAATCTCGAAAAAAATGTCTTTTATATGCATTTAGTAAATAGGGCCGTCGCCGTCAAAACACCCTAAAAGACGCTGTAGTATCTAAAGAGGTATTGCTTAAAGTAAACCTTATTATTTATAAAAAAATATTATTGATGACTTACCAATGGGAGTCGTGCAGACCTGAAAATAAAATGAAATACATTATTTTTATATGAAACAATAAATAGAGTAGAATTAGAAGTATGTATGTGTATGAATGTATGTATTAGAAGAAAATTGCTCAATGGCTTTATTTTATTTTTGATAGGTTTGTATAATTAAAAAATTCGTAACTAAAATATACGTATTTTTATAAAATTAAAAACTGTACGTTATAAGTTTTGTACAAAGTGTAATCGATTATTATTATTATTACTTTATTATATTTTATGTTTATTTTTATTAATTTATTTTACTTATATCATTTACATTTAGATATAAGTTTTTTAAATAAATATTTTCAAATCAATGTTTGTTTAACTGTAACATTGTATCCTTTTATATTCATGTAAACTTTCTGAACAACTGAAGAAAACTTTTTCTCTACTGTTTCTTTTCTTAAGCAAATTGTTTCAGAATACGGGGATGGAAAGGGACGTTCATTCCGTTTTCACTCTTATCGGTATGAATAACAGAATAGAATAAGTTTAACAAAGTTTTCGCATAATGAGTAATGAGGGCATGAATCATGATTCACATAGAGCTCTTATCAGATAAGATAATTTCAAATGCTGATATAAACAGTATCGGATATCGGTAGAGTCAGTATCAAAACGTGACTAGTGTTGAACAGTGCAACCATGAGCCACCCGCCACCGTACTACGGGCCACCGCCACCATGGCCACCCCCGCCGCCGCAGCAGCCGCATCTCTACCCGCCCCACCCGCCACTCCCAGGCCACTTTCCACCACCACCACCGCCCGACCAATCCGGGACATACCCGCATCCATACCCCTACTACATGCCGATGATGGCGATCCCCGTTGGCGTCCCCACAGGCCCCCCACCGAGTGACCCTTCAAACCCCACGTATATCACCAACTACATATACCACGGAGAAACATCCAATCAACCCCAGGGGCCACCGGTGGGAGACGCGGTGCAGGTCGTCGAGACTTCTGGAGACTTCGATTGGATCCCAACTACCTCCACCACAGCGTCGCATTTGAGTGGAAAAGCTGTTTTGGGAGGTCACGAAGGTTGGGACGGCAGTCCTCTATGGGTAATCAGGTCCTGGCATAACGGAGACCTGATACCAGGGAAACTATCAGTGAGGCACAACGCTGCGTCAATAATGTACAACGGAAAAGAAGTCCCTGTTCAGAATATTGAAGTGTTGTGTGCTCGACCGGAGAATCTGCGATGGGTGCCAGCTTCAAACGGAAATATACCTCCGAGTGCCATAGAAGGAGGCAGAACCGCATCAGGAGAGACTTTATACATAGGCAGAGCGAGGTACCAGCTGTCGATAACTCCTGGAAAGGTGCAGCCAAGCCACAACTGTTGCTACATCGGGTTCGGTGGTTCAGAAGTGTCTCATCGGGTGTACGATGTCCTGTGCAGGATCAGTTAGTACCACCACGCCTGCGAATGTGCTGTGATATTTTGATACGAAAGAGACTACAAATATTTAGATTTAATGGATGCCGTAAGTCTACTAGAGTAGATTTTTATGCAGCATGATTATTGTTGTGTAATATCTGTCCATCTTCTCTGCAACAGTGTATTTTTTGTAAAGAATCAATGGTGTAATTTTTCATAAATGTGTAAATTATGATTCTTTGAAAATCCGACTGTTATTTATCAAACGGATTATATTATTGTAAGGATAAAGTGCTGGAATTTAGCACATTGTAGTCATGTTATCGGTGGAAGTCCGGGCTATCTGACTGACGTGATCGATAAATTGGAAACACGCTGATAATAAAGATAATGTTCAGTAAGAATGTCCTTTGTTTACTTTATTTACTTTTGCTATCTCATAAAATTTTAAACAGGTGACAATCTAGTCACCTTCAATATTATTTTATTTTACTCCTTTATTGATATACGAGTAAGGGATGAAAAATGTTTTGTTGTTATTTAAACGATAATCTTACTCCTGGTACATACAAGTTTCATATTAATTACTGGTGACTAAGCACCATCCTGTAGTATATCCTTGTGCTACTTAATCACATTTGCAAGGTGGACCAACGACATGATATAGGTAGCAGGAAGTCGCTGGACGCAGGCCGCTACCAACCGGGCAACATGGAAATCATTGGGGGAGCCCTATGTTCAGCAGTGGACGTCCTAAATGGACATGTAGATGGTGATGATGACTAAATCGCATTGGATTTTTATAATAAACACTAACATTTCATAAAAGAAGAATCCCAAGACTTTTTAAATTACTTTCTGTATAACCAAGAAAATTAGGCAATTGTAACCTCTACTAACGAGGTCAATTAAGCGAGTAACTCCTGTACCTGCTCACACAGATATACGTATCTCTGCACATATTGTTACCCTACACACTGGCAATAAAGATCATTGTTGAGTGGCAGGGATCGTGCGAAGATCGTCAATACGAATGGGAGTCAATTGGCAGGGTGATGTCATTACGTAATAATGAGATCTTGGCTTAGTTAGTTATTGTAGGGCTTCTCTCTAACGAAGATTCTGTATTATAAAGAAAAAAGATTTGTTTGTTTGTATTGAGTAGGCTCCGAAACTCTGGATCGATTTGAAAAATTCTTTCCTACATTATTTCTGATGAACATAGGCGGTAAGAAAATCGCCGGTTCTAAATATTTGTTTCTTAGCAACATTTTGCTGTAAGAAGGATGCATAGTTCTCACAATATTATTATAGGAATCACGCGCATGAATAATCCCGCTGTTTCAGAAAGGTAAAAAGGATACTTGGTGACTACTTGTACCAACTAAAGCAAGTTACAAGTAGTTGCAAATAGTGAGGGAAAGCTTTTGATTTTGATTTTTTATTTTACACTGCGCCCTAGCCCCAAACTAAGCAAAGCTTGTACTATGGGTACTAGACAACAAATATAAACATACTTAAATACTTTTTTTGTAAATAAATACATATTATACATAGAAAACACCCAGACCCGTCACAGAAATTAAAATTCATCATTTCAATTTCTGCCCGGCCGGGAATCGACAATCTCAAAAAATCTTAAAAAAAAAAGAGATCGTGTACTGTTCTTTGGTGCATTTCTAGAGGCTGAAGTCCAGCTGTGGATTAAAATATAATACGATTATCTTTTCATTACTTCATTTGCAAAATCACACAACTCCAACAGGTGCGATATAATCTCAAGACAGCCCACGATATTAACATGACCAAACCAAACGCATTAAGGTGTTAATCCGCTATAAATCTGGTCCCTATGGGATCTAATGGGATAATCCTTTGTCCAACCCGAGCCCGCATGCCGCTTGCAAACACCACTAGGCATACACCAGTATTAACATACTCGTATGCACAAACTTTGCCTTTACTCCTGTAGTTGGAAGGCCTGTCATATTTTCCGTAGGTCTACTTGTCTAAAATATACAAGTAGGTCATGGTTAAAATTATAGGTCAACCGCCTCTGTGGTCTAGTGGTTAAACCACCTGCTTCAGACGCAGAGGTCCCGGGTTCGATTCCCAGTGGGGGCAGAAGTTCGGTTTGGTTGGTGGTAGGGCTTGTTCCAAGTCCGCCTGGCTAGCTATCACCATCTTTCCTAAGTCTGTCGCCATAATAACAATGTTAACAGCATTTTTGTGTTCCGGCAGTTAGAGGTAAGATAGCCAGTTCCTCTGTGGTTGAGGATTCCGGGTGAAGCTCGCTTCCACCTTCGGCCTGATCGTCACTTACCATCAGGTGATATACAGGCCAAGAGCTTCCTCGTTGTGGATAAAAAAAAGAAGAACTAGCACATAACTGAGTCAGTGCCTGAGGCATGGAAGCGGCACGGGACGGGTGACATTGACATTTATGACGTGACAGAGCATAATATAAATCTACGAGTATACTAATATTATAAAGAGGTAAAGTTTGTGTTTGTATATTATGTTAAATTGTAAGGGGGTAATCTCGGGATCTACTGAACCGACAGTTGACGGCACATAATAAATAATAATAAATAATTTATTTCGGACAAATAATAATATGACGTGTAAGTAATGTAGCCTAAAAAACTATGTTACTACTTTAATAAATCAATTAGATTAGAGTGACCATCGGGAGAAAGTGTACATTCCCGTGCTCGTCAATCTCTGCACAACGCTCCTCCAGAGCGGTGAGGTGACGCGATCCGCTAATGTCTTTAGGATGCAGTTGGAACTGGACATAGCTAGACATAGACCTATTACAACTATACCAGAGGTCATAGTGATCTGTTTGATGTACCGTATCGTCTGTTAAGTCAGTACCTATGGTCCAATGCCCTAGCAGTTGCAGCGGGCTGACGGAGACTGATGATGATTTAAAAAATAAACAACTGACACGAGTACCTAACGTATAAAACCTGATATAATGTAAATCTTTATTTTTTTGTAAGAGGGCAAACTACAGACTTTTAGTCAGCCGATACCAAATTGATATAATGTGCGCACTTCTATACATGTTCATCTGTCGAGGTTTTTAGAATAAAACGCAATTACGGCACTCTAGAACTTTTAGCTATATCAGCGTAATGAATGTCTCAAGATAATTGCTACCAATAATAATAATTGTTATTATGTTATTAGTTTAGTTGGGTCCCGACTCAATCGAGAACTCAACCCAAACTTAAATTAACACCTCACATTAATGCTTTAACTTTGGTCGGGTTTATCCGCGATATGAACCCTGATAGGGTTGTTATTGGAAATGACATTGACTAATAAATTGTTAGCTTTTGTACGAAACTTGTACGATTTGAATTATATGAAAAAAAAAAAAAAAATTAGCTGTACTTTATATAACTTTTATCACCTAAGGGTATGAAAAATAGTATACGTCCTATACTCAGACCTACTGAATATACATACGAAAGACTATCACATGAAAATTTTATACTAGCGGCCGCCTGCGACTTCGTACGCGTGGACCCCTTTTTACCCCCATAGGGGTTGAATTATGATCGGAAATTATTCGAATTTTTCTCGCCGTGAAAACCATCCTTGGACTTCAACGAACATTTAAAAAAAAATATTGGTAAAATTGGTCCAGGCGTTGTTATAGACTAGTAGTTTGGATGGACTCCTAGCTGAGGCTCTGTCAATCTTACAAAACCCTTCACAATTTTATGTCCTCTTCCAATTTTATTTATTTTTATTTATTTATTCATGAATAGAACGGTAGTACCAATTACACTATTCAAACAAGACGTAACAAAGCTCAGAATAACATTTAGGTAATTAAAAACAATTTAACTTAACTTAATTTAGGAAAAGTACATAAATCAGATGCGATTATTTTCACAGTAACCCAAACATTCTGCTAGTAACGTACTCCACCCCTCTGCAAATACGTCACATGAATGTCTGAAAGAGGTCATATCCTAACAATAAAACTGCCTAAAGTGTGCTGTTTATATTTAGTATATCTTAGTAAGTATATTTGTCAGTCGTAGTTTGGAAAAAGTCATTCGATATCATGCGTCGCGGGGTATTAACCCTACTGATTTGCGTATTTAATAATTATTAATCAAATATGATTAGAAATTACACAACAAAAACTATTTCTAGCTCATGCAGTCCTAATTGCCAATCAGCTCGACAATGTAATTAAAGTAATTAGTACGCAAATCACAAGTTTGACACCGACGAGTCATGAACTGCTATGAACTTGTCTGGGTGACGTATCGTATAATTAAAGTAATGCACTGATTGCCTTAATTAAGTTACTTTGGGAGAATGGCGAAAGTTATTAGAGATCCAATACATAACATAATATTAGTTTGTTCCGGCGTTTCTTCTTAGCACTTGCCATATGTTTGTCTCGAAGCGCTGGTAGGGCCCAAAAGATAAGGAGACATGTAAAGTGCCCCATAAGGGCTACCTTTTTCTTTTTTTATTATTTTCTATTGACGTTCATAAGTGCCACTTGGGGAGGGTCTGAAAGGTCTAGGTGTCTTAAACTAATATGTATTTATTAAATTACTTGAATAAATTACGATAATTTTAAAGCAGGCTTTGGGAGCCATCAGAGACACCTCCTAGGCCATGAACTCGAATAGTAGTGTAGACAATTCAATATTCATTTTATCGTCATAGGTTTCTAATGCCTGTTTTCGCCATTAATCCCTAATTTTTAAGTGACCCCTATGGTAATAAATAACAGGAATTTGTTTTACATAGGGGCCAGTTAAAAATTAAGGATTGATGGTGAAAACAGGCATAAGAAATCTAGTGTAAAAAATCAAATATTCATGATTATCAGAGGCTTTTGGGAAACTACCTAGAGTAGATTAAAAACATTTTTTCGAGTCGAATAAGTCGCATGCATTTGGACGCAGATTGGAGTATAGCGATGTAATCACAATCTCGAGTCAAAATCGAATCTTTGTTGTCCAAAGTCACGGTTTCCAATCTTATTTAACGTCTCCAATAATTGCCTAGTGCATATTACTGAGCAAATTATTCAAACCGCCAACAGATTTGGTTTGGGCAATTCTGACCGCCCGCCCAACTTTCGGGTTAACGCGTGAACGCCGCCCCTATAATATCGTTAAGTTAATATTAGCTGGGCGGCCGTTCCGATAGTTTGATCGCTAATCAAACTACGAGTAGGTATACGTTACGACCAATATGCATACACGTTTTATCTAAATATGTATTTTTATATACTAGCTACATACTGAGAAACTGACTGACTGACAGACCAACGCACAGCCTAAACGGCTAAACGTAGGCACTTGAAATTTGGAAGGGACGTAGCTTAGGTACCGTAGAGGTGCACTAAGAAAGGAATTCCCGAAATTCCCACGGGAACGGGAAATAGCGGGAAAATCCTTTTGTATGAAAAATCTTAACCGCTTAAGTTAGACGCTTGAAATTTGGCATGCAGGTACTTTAGTAAAGTTAAAGCTTAGTTACAACAGAATATTGCAAAATTCCCACGAGAACGGGAGTTGGCGGGAAAAACATTTGTATGAAAAAATCTAAACCGCGTAAGATAGATGAAGGGGATAAAACGGGATCCACGCGTACGAAGTCGCGGGCGGCCGCTAGTGACTTATAAATATGTATTAAATACGAAATTTTCTCTGTTCGTTACATACGTTTTCACACTTAGGCTGTGTTGCACTACCTAACTTTGACTGTAACTATAACTATAACCGGTGTATTTTGTGTGGAGTTAGACAGACTTTTGACGTCTATTAAAGTCAAAGTAAGATGGTGCAACCCAGCCGTCATTAAACCACTGAACCAATTTTATAATGATGAAAATATGTCATCATCGTACCTAGATAAAAATAAAAATGACACCCGTAGAATAAGTGACTCTATCTAATATCCTATTATAAACTATAGAGAATAAATATAACAGTAACTATAACAGGACAAATAAATATGATGCAATAAAAGTCATATTGAGTAGTGTTTCCAAATAATTCTAAGGTAAGCTGCAATAGAACCAAAGTGTTTTGGACGGTTAAAAAAAGTGACGTTTAATCGATAAAGGTTACATTTTCTATAATGCGTAGAGTCATCCTTTTGTCAGATCATACAATTTGTACCAGTAAATTGGTAGTATCAACATGCCTGTTATGGCTATGACAAACGTACCCATGGTTGCCTTAGGTGTATGCAATATATTACTTAGTTAATGCAGCTCCACATTAGTCAATTAGCGACTGGTCACGAAGCATGGTGACATCACTGGGTCTCTTATTCATACAAACGTCACGTTATAATCGCTCTATTGTTCTCTTTCATTTACAAGGCGAGTGACAGAGATGTATAGAAGGGAATTTAACAAAATATTTTTCCGGAGTAGGGTCCCATACGTGCCCAGACGACGCAGTTTGAAATAAGTCAGTGACTATGCTCACATTGAGCGGTAAGAAAATTTTGAATCGAGTCATTCTTTGTTTTGCACAGTTTGGCGCGGTTTGAAAAACGACATTGTTAAAAATAGCAACGTAGTATTGGATTCAGAGTGAGATTGTTAAGAAGTGTACTCTCGTTATAAGTTTTCCGTAACGATTATTAGTTTAGAAATATCGCAAAACGTGGGAAAAGTATACAATAACAGTGTTAAAAAATAACAAAAGTGAATCCAGACTTCATAAGGGAATCACTCATGTGGAGCGTTTTTAGGTAGTCACTAAATATAAATACTGGGACTGCTTTTCTAGAAAATATTATTACAATACGATAGCTATTTTATATTTAGGTTTTTTCCAACGATTGTAGCGGGTCTACTGGGAATACTCGTACCTATACGGAGATATTGGGCAACGAACGGCAAATCCATTGTGACTACGTATAATTTTTCGTATAAATGTAGACATTTTAGTAATAGTGTATAGTAGACACTGAATTGTAAAGAATAATATGGTTTGGGGTTCAAATCAAAACTAAAAACTATTGCATCGGTAAAGGTCTTCTCAACACCAGTTCATTATTGTCCCGAAGTGGTGGTAGGGCAAGTCATATTTGGGACGTAAACGCCCTAGATAACGCCTAAGTTACGCCTATTCAATAAATGATTAAAATTTGATTAATTTAGAAGCTTAAAACAATCGTCATTGATGGAATTATCAGATGCCTTTCCATGGAAAATTAATAGCTAAAATAGTCAAAATGTTGTTCAATAATTAGACAATCCGAGTAGCGTTATCTGGGGTGAAATATGTCGAAACGCTAATATAGTCCGTAGTTAATGTGGGTTGGTCGGAGGCAAACACGCTAGTTAGAGAGTCAACAGACTCGTCAGGCCTTTTGACGCGTTTTGGGGGAGAGTGGCATTGCAAGTGCAATTTTGTTGGGGATTCATTGCAGACTGGAATAATGAATTCGATTATTTTGGATGCTGCGAAAATTCTCTCAGTTATAAATGGCGTGACTTATAAATACATATTTTATTTTAAGATACCTATACTCGTTGCTTTTGTTCTATTTTCATAATTTTTTAGGAGGTGTATAATGACTTGAGTACCTATATTGATCAAATCAATAAACCAAAATAAAAAGTGTTCAATTCTACAGGGCGTTCAATTTCCTGGGTCATTTTATTCTCTAGATTAGGTACCAGATTAAATAATTTAGTCTGCTAAAAAGCTCTACTAAACGAATCAGTGTTTAAAATTAATCTGACTTTATCAACAGTTGAATCAACAAATAAATAATAATATAGAGCGAATGAAGACATCATGGAAAGAAACAAATGTGTAAGAGCCGAGGATTTGGACATTAATAGTGTTGTGGAACTGTTGGAGAAATGGGACTTGGCCGAGTTTGTGGACTTCGTGAAAGACAGGCGGATTGACGGGCGAAAATTATTGGTAAGTACCTACTCAAGTTGTTTTCACTTAGGAATTATTTTAAAGTAATTTCATAAAGCAATAATAGGTAGTATTTTCACAAAGTAATTCTAGAAACAAAGATGTAGAGTAGCTCTTTTTGGAATTTAATACAGTAGCATCGGTAGATGCTTAGCAAGCTATAATTATGTTTAGATTAAGTAAACAATTGTTGTCACGATGGTTTCAGTGTTTGTCTTGTTTTCCTATAAAAATAAATTAAATAGAGCTTGACTTTGATGTCTAACTAACTAAATGTTACCTATCACATTCCAAAATATTACCAAAACAATAATAATAATATTATGAGCCACTTTCCGCTACCACTTACACTCTGTAATCAAGTCGATAATTGAGAGTGATTGAAATCAACTCTCAAACTGACATAGCTGCATTTGTAAGTATTTTTTGCCGTTAGTAGGAGGAGGGTTATGTTTTTCGAGTATGTATGTTTATGTATGCTACGCTTTATAGCCTAAACGGCTTGATCGATTTCAGCGAGAGAAATATCGTTATTTTGTTTACGTAAAATGTACCATTCTTATGAATTTGCAACCATACTGAAACTATTTTCAAACTACACAAATGCGCCTCCCAGTAGTATATTTTGTTAGGACACTCGCCCGCGACTCGTGCGAGTTAGTTTGGAGTTAGACAAAGCCCGATACTTGTTAGCGCCGGATTGACCCGACGATGGCGATAAAATTTCACAAGAGCAGCCGACCCGTTGTCATGCATTGCTTGATTTATAACTTCATGCAGGTGCTCGGAAAAAGCGCAGAAGTAATTCATCATTATCATCATTATCAGCTATAGGACGTCCACTACTGAACATAGGCCTTCCCCAATGATTTCCATATTGCCCGGTAGGTAGCGGTCGGAAAACGCAGCGTGTGACGTGTGGACGTCAGTCCACCTTGTGGGTGACCAGTTGGACTGATGCCCTCATAAAGGTAGTAGGCGCTGAATGCAGACCGCTACCAACCGGGCAATTTACTCAGGCATAATTCTTAATATCTGATTACGTTGCAAAAATACACCGTGTTACTGTAACACCCTGTATACGGCATATTTTTCGTCCGATATTTTATAAAATTGACACGCGAAGAAAAAGCAAAAACTTGATAATTATGTCGTAGATTGTTTCTACGCTCTGCTCGTTCACCGTTCCACACACAGAACTATTTCACACTTTGATCCCAGTTTTGATGGATACTTCCACTTGAGTTGCTTCATATAAATTTGGAATATATCACGCCAATGTTGTGATAGAGAGAGCTTTGATTACATTATAAGCTAGCACATAATGTGCTATCAGAGATATGTCTACAACTACACAGTGTTTTAATGCATTGCTTGATTTCACAGTGGAAATATAATTCCCACCATATTTTGAACTTTATTCCCTTAAGTCCAAAAACAATGAAAAATTTGGACTTGTTATGCTCGTTAAAGGCTTAAAGACGCCTAGTAAACAGGCCTACCCTTCACACTAACATACCCATGAAAAAGTAGCATATAATTTAAGTAAGCCTAGGCGCAGACCATCGATTTTTCGTCGGCCGATAGTGCGCACATTACACCGATTCGATTTGGCCAATTCTTCATACAATTTAAAATCGGGCCCAACTATCGGCCAACAAAAAATCGGTGGTCTGCGCCTAGTCTAACTGTTATTTCACTATGCCAGTGCCACCGTAAACATTTCAAGATTGTTGCAACTAAGTACAAGGATAGCTTAAGTTCTCCGCTTCAGGTCCACTTTTAAGTAACAGTTAAAGTTTACCTTAAGCGAAAAAGTTAAGTTAACCGGCTTGTTACACCTTTACATCAAACTCCTAACTAGTCGCTAGTTCCCCGCGACTCTCAATAAAACTACTTAGAACGGACCGACAAACAAACTTTTTTAATTTAACCCATTAGTTTGCCAAGAATCAACTCTCAGCTTTATCTGAAAAACACCTTACGATCTCAAACATAAAACTCAATTTGCACTGCCAACACAAACCCAAACTTTCTGAATATTTAGCCGAAACGAAAATTTATTTACGTTGTAATTCACAGGATGTCACTGAGGGAATTGTTAAATTATGGCAGCCCAAAGTAAACGCGAAGAAATTCATATTATTCATTGAAAATTTCAAACTCAATCCTGAAAAGTATCTTGGTGGAATTAATGTGACAAAAGATAGGAGAGAAATGGACGCTGCTACTTCAGTTGCTTCGATCGAAAGTCAGTATCAAACTGTTAAAAAGGTCAAAACGGAGACGACAGCTAATTTTACTAATGTCGAAGAGTTACTGAAGAAGATAGTGCCCGCTAAAAGTTTTCTATACAGAAATCAGCAGAGAAAAACAGACAAAACCGTTCCATCCTATGTCCCGATGGATGGCACTAGAAAACCTAGAAAATTCTTCAGATTGAGCTCTTACGAATATCCAAACTTTGACTTGCTATCAATATTTTCAAGACAAGAAAACGTTGAGGACAGAGGATACTATTCAGTCAAAAGTAACACTAGGTATTACATCCAGAAGACGTACAGAAAACAAGATTCGAGAACCAAATACAAGTCATTGCAAACACCTGAAGAATTGAGTGCGAAGTTACCTGAAGACCATTTCTATGAAGACTTATGCTACAATGAAGTCACTACTGTTGAAAAGAATAAAACAAACGCTCTGAATCAAGCCAGCAATGTAAAACCATGCCTAGTCAAATTGCAAGAACTATTCCAATCCTTCAAAATGCCCTTTTCTAAGAAGCCTGAAATAACAGAAGGAGTTGCTAAAGCTGAAGTAGTAGAAAAAGAAAGAGAAGCCAACGTGTATGAAAATGCTGAAAGCATTTCCAATATGTACGATTCGGTGCATGTCAAACTGCTCAGTGAAGTAGATGATAAGGATAACAAACAAGTAAGTAATTAAGTAAATTGAAGACTATGTCTTTACATTTCCAGGGTTCGTGTATACTTTTCTTTCTTTTCTATCCTTTTACCTTTTCTTTTGAATCCTATCGTTAAAATTTGGAACAGCACCATGCCATAGTATGATCATTTACTCAGCCTCCATATTCGCCTGTAATCGCACTTACCTAATATATCTCAATATTATTGGATAGAGTATAACTTTACAAAGATCTAGTTTGGTGTGCAGAAAATAATATTAGTTAAGTGATATAAAAATATTTATCCTTATTTTGTTTTGCTCTTAATAATTAATTGTTTTCATATTGGTGGAGGCTTTTCAAATATTTGAAATTGGCTGTTCAGAATTTTGATCATTTTAGAAATCACTTGATTATAAACTGTTTCCAGGGCAAGCTCCCAGTGGAGGAATACTTAGAGCCGGTGCAGCTCAGCAAAGAATACTGTGACGTGGCGCCCCAGAGGGACGACTCGCTGCTCGGGTACATCATGAGCATATTCGACACACGCTTCGGCTTTAGACGAGGTTCGTACCTTTTCTATGCATAGACTAGGAGACTGGGTGTGATAACCTCATAGTAAGTGCCCATTGAAATCAGCTACACCAGAAGCGCTGTTGATGTGTCGCCCTGCCTTTTTGAGAAAATCGTAAGTATTTTATTTATAGACATACTCGTATTATAAGAAAAATATTTGTTGGTATACAATCTATTTCACACAAATTACCTAGTCAAAAGTTAAGGTGAGTACGAAGTACTAAGACACGTACGTAATAGTTTAGTCAACATATTTTATACGACATAAATGGTTAAAATTAAACGCACGTGTAAATTATGCTCCAAGTTGACCTCTGGACTATTCTGGCAAGTCTACTCTTATCATATTATTATTATTATTGTATTTAGCTTAGCTGAAGGCATTAATGGGAGAATAAGAGCATTAATGTTTTTTGTGCACAAATTGCTAATACTAGTCATCATTATCATCATTTCAGCCACAGGACGTCCACTGCTGAACATAGGTAGGCCTCCCCCAATGCTTTCCATGTTGATCGATTGGTAGCGGCCTGCGTCCAGCGCTTCCCTGCTACCTTCACGAGTACTAATACTAGTACTCTCAAAAAAATCACATAGTCAGCGCTTCGCCACTGTCCCTCAAGCACCATCGACGTTAACGAGCATAATTACTTGAGGTATTCATCAGTCAATGATACGGCTAATGAATCGCATTTATCGCGAATACATCGCGTTAAATAATGGCCGCCTGTGCGTGTGTGCGAGCCGATAATAACGAATAATCCCGTTCGACATAATTCCCGATGTGCCTTGACGTGGCACACGCTTACACCGAACGCTACATATTTTCAAAATATACCTACGAGATAATACATAAATGTGGTTGTAGCTAAGTAAAATAAATGATTCAGCGTTAAAAACTCTCTATTGAAATCCGGGATTATTATTTTTCGTTTCGATCAAAGGACGTCCACTACTGAACGAAGACCACCCCAAGGATATCAAGAACGACTGGTTCTGCGCTGCCCGCATCCAGATGTTTCCCGTTAAAATAGAATAATACCAATAGATTCTTATACACGCCGACCGACGGCCGACGACACTATAAATGTAGCAGGAAGGCGCTGGACGCAGGCCGCTACCAACAGGTCAACATGGAAATCATTGGGAAGGCATATGTTCAGCAGTGGACGTCCTATGGCTGAAATTATGATGAATATGAGACTCTTATAAAGGTCCCAACAGATGTTTATTAACTCAATTACTTGTCAATTCCTTAAAACTTATCCAATGTAACAGTTACAAAACTCTACATCCTCTATCGCGAGGAGCAAACCGCAACTCGCGAACACCCCTGAACAGGGTATCACAGTCCTAATAAAAAAGGTGTAAAAGTCTTTAAAAGTTCGTAGAATTTCAGTAGCTGGGTAAAACCAGCGGAATAGACTCGGGGGAAGTTTTAGTGTTAGTTTTATCGACGAACCTTGTTTGAAGATTCTTTTAACTTTCCTTCGATACCGACGGTCAGAGATACTGTTGATTGGTTTATAGTTTTCCAGGAAGAGTGGCGTTCCGTATTAATTGATTTTAGGGATCAGACTATGTACTGATGATTCATGAGCCAGATTGGCATCTGTCGTGGGTTATTAGGGCCGACGGTGAATAATTTTAATTAATTAATTTGAAAATCTGGTCAGGTGGGGTTCAGGTCATTTGAAATTCTTGGATGGCTCAAACATGGAGTGCGTGCGGTTTTGTTCCCCAGCCGATGAAGCACATGATGTGCCCTGAGTGCCCGAGCAACTGCACGCAGGAGGATTCGAAAAGTCGAGATAGTCATCAAAACCTCATTTTTTTAAAAGCTATAACTATTGCCAATAAATTCTAAAATATACAAAAAATAATACAGCAAGTATATAGAGCAAAGAGTTTTAGTTGCGCTTATAGATAACCATATTTTATAATAAAAATATCGTTCTATTTATATTCGTCTACTACATCATTTTGCAAAGTCACATACAAGTACGAGTATTAGCATATTTAACTTGTTTTGACGTGTAATATTTGAAAAGAAGTTATCACGGTAAAAGTAATGCGAGCTTTTGTGAAGCCAATAAAACTTCAGCGAAAGTGAAATACGCTCTCGGATTAAGTTCCCAACAAATGTGATATAACTTTATGACGTAGGACGGTTATAGGCGTGGGTGCTTGTACATTTTTAGAATTATTTACTTGTATGATTTGTTGTGTCTGAAATTATTTATTTTTGTCTAGACTTTTCAATTTCGATGCGTTACCACCTAAAGTAGGGTCTACAGTGGTTTGTTTTTTGGATCTGACTGACTTGCTTAGTCAAATAAAGATCTTAGTCTAAGCTTGGTCATGTACTGCACAGTAAGCTGTCTCTAATTACACCGTCGCTGGCGTCGACCAACTGGGCGATGTGGAAATCATTAGAGAAGGCCTATGTTCAGCAGTGGACGTTCTGTGGCTGAAATGATGATGATGAAATAAGTAAACAATTTTTATTTTATTTTATTCAATAAGTACACATACAGGTTACAGTCATTTACATATCAAAATACAAAAACAAAATGAACAATGAACAATGAATTAAATAGAGTTAACATTTAGTTTCCCCCAATAATGGCAATGGCTATTCGATGTATTACACCTACTCCTATCGTTACAGTTCGGTGTGAGGCACTCCCTGCCAGCTCTCATTTCGGAGAAATGAAATTAGCGAGCCAATAAGTCACGTGACGAACCCGTAGGACAGCGCTCATTTTACGACTCTATGCAATATTATATTAGGTGCTTACAAAAAATAAGTAAGTACCTATATATTCACTTACCGTTCCTTTGTGAAAATATTGATTTTAGAGTATCTACTTTCAAAATGATAATCTGGCTAGATCAAATATTTAGAAATTGGGATGAAGTCCTCAATTCGTTTCATTTATTTCAATGATAAGACACTGCTCAATATTTATTTACAGCTGTAAATGAAAATAAAATGAAAGTGCTGGTAACTTTATCATTAAATACACAAAACTTTGAACGAGCTTTGAGTCCAATAGACATACAAAACACTAAGCCTCTATCAAAACCAACAACGTAAATAAATAAACTTAGGTATCTAATAATAATTAAACAAACATTACACTCGTGATCAGGATCGGTAACAATATTCACAGAATTACTTAACAGTTCATACAAGCTGGTGGGAAAGTATTTCCCACATAATGGAATGGTCTAGTGATGTCAATTCTATAAGTAGCGTATCGATAAATAATGATCTACACAGGTACTAGTCAACAAACTCTTGTTTCATTTATATTGCACAATACCTATCATTAAGCTAAGCTGTATGTGCTTGGTCAATTTATTTGTGCAAAATTGGTATTTATGAAGTAGTTTTAATAAGTGAAATTTTGCAATAATCGGCGGCCGTTTGGTGTAGTGGTTCAGAGCGGACTACTATGCCGAGAGGTCCCGGGTTCGATTCCCGGCCGGGCAGAAATTGAAATGATGAATTTTAATTTCTGTGACGGGTCTGGGTGTTAGTATGTATAATATGTATGTATTTAAAAAAAAAAAGTATATAAGTAGTATATCCGTTAAGCTAGCACCCATAACACAAGCATGAAGTTGCTTACTTTGGGGCTAGCTGGCGCTGTGTGAAATTGTCCAAAGATTATTTATTTATTTATTTATTATTTAATAATATGTTTCTGACAGATGCCAGGAACATGGCAGATCCTGTCAGGTATCGGTACATTACTTAATTTTAGTATTTAAGAGAAGGTCAACAAGCTTATTATTTATAGATACAAATTACTAATAGTGCCGTAACCCTCGTGGTTTGTGTCACGATTGGATTCAGCTATTATTGAGCTGTGTCAGCAAGGTTCAACCTTGCGTTCTTCACATCTCGATTCGGCCAGTCCGTCACCGATCACTGACACCATTGGGCCGTTGTCTCTTCAAAACTTTCGACATTCGAAATTCAAAATGTCGACATTTGCGCATCACTACAACGGACACTCTGTGCACAGTGGTTTGCGGTCGGCCCGCGGGCAGTGGACTATTGGGCATTTGTCTCTTTAAAACTATCGACATTCGACAGTCAAAATATCGACATTTGCGCATCACTACAACGGACACTCTGTGCACAGTGGTTTGCGGTCGGCCCGCGGGCAGAGGACTAGCATCGGTTACCGAGAAGGACACTTAATAACCCTTCCCCGAAATTTTACGATAATGTTTCTTGTGACGTGAAGCATACATTAAAATGTATCTTTGTTAAATTATCAAAACACAGCAGTGCTATGTTTAATTCAGTTTATTTTTTATTTAACTACAGAAACTTTTTATTAGGTCTGTATTTTAACTTTTACTGCTGAACTGAAGAGACAAATAAATTAAAGGGATCTCACTATAACAAGTAATTTGCATTAAGCCCTTTGTTTGAAAGGGAACTTTCGGCTCGAGTCGACTGAGCAATTTGCTTGAGTCAATATAAATAAATTCATGTCAAATAATTCGTCCCCGGGCGAGTGACAGAGATGGATACAGCTGGATTAATCGACATCAATATCAACAATCTCTTTATAAAAAAAAGTCAAGTGCGAGTCGGATTCGCGTTCTAAAGGTTCTCTATCTCTATGTATGTTTATATATGCTTCTTTCTCCTACTTACTTATAAAGTACGAGTTCAAAAAACGAGCTAAATATGGGCTGCTGAAATAAGTTCAATTTTCCAACATTCGGTACCTTATACAAAATGTAAGTTTATAATGACAGACACATGGTATGTGATTAGAACTTCAAGATTGATGGTTCCCTAATTTATGCTGTGAGACGTCTTAGCAAATTGAATATTCTAGATCAAATTTCAAACTTTAATATCTTTATCCATTAAAGTATACGTAATAGGTTACTACTACACGCAATTTGCAATTGACTTTGGCCTGGGTGGCAATGAAGATTAATCGAATTTCAATTATTA